TCACTCTTGCTTATTCTTGCCATATTCAATGCTTGCTGAATTTAACACATCTATTAAATGAAAAGTGTTGCTAACATTTTAATGCTTGACTCACAAGGAGCAGTGAGGAAATTTGAGAAACCCAATGTTTAATGCCCAAAAGGAAGACAAGTATTATTACCAATGGCATATATCGTTAATATGTCAATTGGATATTATTGGAAAATTTGAAAGTTTTTAAGGTTCTTGTAATATTACTAGTTGTTTTAGGTTACATCTTTTATTCATCAAATTTTTCATGTATCAATTGTCATAAGATTTCTAGCATAATAAAATGCTGAATCGTTAGAAAATATCAAGTACCAAAAATGCTGAAATTAAGTAGGCATATAAATTTTTTTAAAAGAAAAAGGTCTATACCGGCGGTCGGTATCTGCTGGCTTAACTATGAGCAAGATAGAAGTATGGGCCAAATAAGACCTAAAGCGGCAGTCAATGTCCGCCAGTTAGGTATTAACAAAAATGGCACCTAAGGGTTTGGACCACCAGCTACCAGGCTAAGCCAACGGTCATGGAAAAATCGCTGCTTTTGATAACTATGAACCACCTCAGACTAGGAAGCAAAGCAGTGGTCTTTCCTACCTAAGCTGGTGGTCTTGATCTAAGGCGACAGGCGGGCGTATGACCGCCCTTATATCTAAGCCAGTTTAATTGCTCCTTAGAACTAACATATAGGATGCACACTTCCCCATTAACAATTTTCTCTATGATAAAGTGTTTGTCAACCTCAATATGTTTAATACTATCATGAAGAAATGGGTTGGTTGTAATGTTGATGGCATCCTTGTTATCACAATACAAGGGCATGGGGCCATCAATTGAAAAACCTAGTTTGCTCAACAAATTCCTTATCCACATAGCTTCAGCCACCACATGGGACATTGTTCTACACTCAAGTTCTATCTCTAGACCTAGCCACTACACATTGTTTATTGCTTTTCCATGTGATTAGGTTTTCTCCCACAAAAGAACAATACCCACTAATGGACTTTCTGTCATCAACTAATCCAGTCCAGTTAGCATCTGTATATACTTCAATCTTCAAGTGCCCATTCTTCTGAAATAGCAAACCAGCTATTGGAAACTTCTTTAGATATCTGAGGATTCTCTCGGCTGCTTCTAAGTGTGTGGTCTTAGGAACATGCATGAATTGGCTAAAAACACCTATGGCATAAGCAATGCTTGGCCGGGTCATGGACAAATACAGGAGCCTTCCCACAAGTCTTTGGAATTGCTTTACATCCTTGATAATCTCACCACAATAGTCATTCAACCTATTATTTGGATCAATGGGAGTGTCAGCTGGCTTAACCCCTAGTTTTTCTGAATCCTGTAACAAATCTGAGGTATTTCCTTTGAGAAATGAAAATTCCCTTTTGTGAGCGGGCCACTTCAATTCCAAGGAAGTATCATAAGGGACCTAGATCCTTCACCTCAAATTGAGTGGCTAAGAGGTCTTTTAGCCTTTGAATTTCCACTTTCCAGTCACCTATGATCACTATGTCATCAACATATACTATCAAGGCTACAATCTTTCCTTCCCCCCTTTTCAAAAGTAATGTATGGTTAGTTTGACACTATTGTAGCCAATCTGTTGCATAGCCAGATGAAACTTGTTGAACCAAGCTCTTGGTGATTATTTTAGACCATACAAGGATATTTTTAACCTACACACTTTCTGCTCTTTGCCTTAGGTGGCGTGGCGTTTGATAAATCTGAAATTTCAAATCTAAAAAGCTAAAAAGATATTATAAGTGTCTGAAATCTGAAAAGAGGCATAAATGCTTTTTTTACTTTTTAGAGGATCTGAATAGATAATGTTGTTTGTTTTGGATCAATTATGAACATCTGAAATTTTTTTGTTTTACTATTTTACCCCTGGAATATGCTATTTTGTAATTTTGAATGCAATTAGCACTACTTCATATAAAATAACTTATCAAATTCAGAATAATATCAAAATTATACAAAAAATTAATAAAAATAATTAAAATTGAATAAAAAATAAAATAATTAATAAATAATTAAATAATTAATTATTTAATTATTAATAATATTGAAATAACACGTATAAAAATAATAAAATAAATAATAATTACTAAAAATAATTAATAATTATGAATAACACAATAAAAAATAATAAAAATAATTAATCACTAATAAAATATTCATATGATCAAAATTTAATAAAAATAAAATAATTAATAATTAATTAATTATTTAATTATTAGTAATGCTGAAATAACACGAATAAAGTAATAAAATAAATAATAATTGATAATAATTACTAAATATATTTAATAATTAATTAGTAATTATAAATAACACAATAAAAAATAAAAAAAATAATTAATCATTAATAAAAAGTATGAATATGATTAAAATTTAATAAAATTAATAAATAATATTTAATAAATAATTACTTATTTAAAATTACTAATTCTGAACCAACACGAATAAAAATAATAAAATAAACAATAATTGATAATAATTAATAACAATAAATAACACAATAAAAATAATAAAAACAATTAATCACTAATAAAAAATATGAATATGATTAAATTTAATAAAATTAATAAATAATAATTAATTAATTATTTAATGTTAATAATAATGAACCAACATTCATAAAAATAGTAAAATAAATAATAATTGATAATAATTATTAAAAATTTTAATAATTATAAATAACACGAGAAAAATTAATAAAAATAATTAATCACTAATAAAAAAAATAATACAATTAAAAATATGAATAAATTCCATGTTTAATTAATAAAAATAAGATATTTAATAATTAATTTTATTAAAAATATAAAAATATAAAAATAAAAATTAAATTATTAAAATATAAAATAATACTTAATAATCAATTTAAAAAGCTTCAATTATTAGTACAAATATAAAATGATAAAAATGCCATAAGATACATAACATTTAATACAAAACATAAGTTTACAATAATAAAGCAATGGTCATCACCTACATGTCCGTATGTTGTACATATAATTATCTAAACCATTGTCATTTGTTCATATGTCACATAACTATCCTATGCAATTGCAACAACAATAATAAACAAAAAAATTACTACGACAATAATAACAAATTGGATGACATTGTAAATAAGAGGTGCATGTTGCATCCAAGTGCCATATCTTCCTTGAGCGGTTGCGATATTTAGATTTTCTACAAGCCATGGAATGGGTTGATTGAACTCCTTGAGCTCTGCCACTACGTCAACAATCAGTTCATCGACCCAATAAAAAGAGTACGTATGCTTTTCCCACATTGGGCAATGTAGGAAAACTCTTCCCTGATTTTCATTTGTTCCAGCCTTGTAAAGTTCCATATAACCAGCCCCACATGCACACATGATTGAAGAACGCCTATTAACCATTTTCCTTACATAAAAGAGAGTTTGTTCACATACATAACCATAACAGTACAATACAAATAAACAAGAAGTACATAACTATAATCAAAGATAAGTAGTTCAATGCATGTTCCTATTTAATATTCTTGTGTAATTTCCTCTCGCAACCATGAATTTTGCATTGGCTTGACCATGAGGCATCTCTCCAATGTCGTGATCTTTTGTCTCTACTTCCTCTACATTTTCATTAGGCACTTGCATATTAGATTCATCGTAGTCATTGAAAAGGGTATCAACTATTGATTCCCTTCTCAAATAGTTTTGGATAGCAAATCATGCAATGATTACGTCCCGTTGGACATGGAGATTGAAAGGTGCCAATCCATTTAAGAATCAGAAACCGAGCTTTTAAAACACCAAACGATCTCCCGATCACATTTCTCAACTTTTCATGTGCTTGGTTGAATTGTTCTGTTTTTATCCTAGCACACTCACGACGAAAGTTTGCTGCCAAATATCGCACATTTCGATAGGGTGCATAAAGTGTTTTGTATTTACGAATGCAGCATCACATAGATAGTACTTGTCAATGTCAATCAAACTTATGTATCAAAATAATGAATTTATTAAAAAAAAGAACACCCCTACAACATCATACTTACCAGTAGGTGGAAATGGGAAGTTATTGCCAGGGTTGTATGCAACCTCATGTAAAACCCTGGCGTCATGTGATGTTCCTCCCCAACCGGCATAAACATATGTGTAAATATCATGTTAAAATCACAAACAGCTAGCACATTTTGGAAACATTCTTTCCCTTCTCTTCCTCGGTATGCCAGTTGTTTTTCTAGTGGTACAACATGAACAAGTGTTCCATCTAAAGTACCAATAACACCTTTTAACAACAAAAGAAAATATCTAAATAAAACTAGTTCTAAGCTTAACCCATATCCTATTCAAAATTATGAAACTTGTGTGGCATTACCAATTATTTACCTTGAAAACCTGTCAGAGTCGTTTATGGTGCCCTGGGATGTTTGGGTTTGGGTCAAATGTAGTTGGACGGATCATTTCTCATGCAAACTCCATCATAGCAGCTAACACTTGATGGAAATATCTATGCACTGTTTGGGTGAAATGTTGGAATATTCTTTTCAAAATAGAGAATCTTTCATTATGGCTTAAATACAAAAGAAACATAGTCATCTTCTCCTCCCTTGATATGTATCGACTATCATGTAACCATCCGCGATTGCGAAAATGGCCACATAACTGTACATATGCTTCAACTGGCATCCTCATCATCTCGATGGTTTGTTGGTCATTTCCATTTAATAACTCTTATGTATAGATATATCTGGGTAGTGCAGATTCACAATCCGATATCCGTGCAATACGCCTCTGTAAAGTTTTTTTTATATACCAATACAAGAGCATAATCATACCCAACCGCTTCATCCTAGGTGTTAACATATTTGTTGTGTACCTGGTGGTTTATTTTCTACATTGAGATTAATCTAAAAGCAAATCTTCATGCATGTATAATATATTCAAAATATTAATTACACCAAGTCATCAAGTATCACAAAATAAGAGCATATGTAACATATTCAAAATATCAAAACAAAAAACCAAAAAGCATATTGCATATGTCGGGTGTGGCAACCAGACTGAAACCAAAACATCAATCCAAACATGAAAGAAACCGACGTATAACTCCTATGATAAGTTCATCCTCCTAGCATAAAGTGACAACCACCTTTTCATTGCCTCCTCATCGGGTGTGTCACAAGATCCATACAAATGGATCCATTCTTTCCTACATTTTGGATTTTCCAAAAAGATAATTGAAGCCTCTATATATAAAGGAGTTCTGGTTGTCCAACTGATATCAACTAGCTTCTGCATACATTCTTCCACAGTTGGTCCTCCATCCTCAACAATCATTATGTCGAGAAACTGCTCCATCTTAGCATCAATCTCATTAGTGAACACCGAGCATATAATCCCTGCCACCTCAGCTATATATTCATCTTGGCCTAAGAGCTTCAAAATCGGGGTTGTGAAAATGAAGACCGGAAGCAAAAATAATGAGCAAATGAATAGAACAATCCATGACCTTTGAAGATAAACACCTAGCATATGGTATTGCTTAGCACCGTATGCTTTCCCACAAAGAGTTTCTAGTGCACTAGCCATGCCTAACTGCATACACTAAATGAGTAATCAGTCATAAGATGATTGAATATCTTTCATCAAGATTATGGAATGGCTTGTAATGGGCATCTGAGAATCAACAGATTTTTAAAATACAAATAACAAAAAGAGGCAAATTTATTAGTTATCATAATCATAATACTCCTTTATTGCTCTGACAATTGAGGTAGCATGGACCTCAACTCATCAAATTGAAGGGAGTTTCCGATCTTCCATACAAATAAGCTTGTTGATATGACATGTACAGTTACAACTATAATCAAACATTGCAATATATCACCTGCCATCTAAGTTTAGAATTGGAATTCCATCCATTTGGTGGACAATACATGCAACAGTAGACCAATTGAGTTTCACATATATGTCTATATGACGAAGGACATACTCAGAGGAAGGCGAGGAGCATGTTCACCCACTCAAAAATTTTGAAAATCCTAATACTAATATAAACTGACCCCACAATCCATGTTGAAATTACCAACTTGGTTATTTCTCATCAGAAATTTTTCCTAGTCATAATTTTGAGATATCATCAACATTAGTCAGTTTTGCACAAAGCAATGTAACTGAATATTCAAACACTGATCATATTTTTATCAACTTTATGTATAGGCAATGTATGAATTAACAAATTGTGCAGTTTATACATATTGGAGTTAACCAAGGTTTTAAATCTCAATGTATAGGCATGCAATGTCAACCAAGGTTGGAGTTTCTTTCCATTGATTGTTTGTATGTTGTTTTCGTTTGTGTTTAATATAGAATGGAAGATGTAAATGATCTCCAAAATCCCTAGGATCAAGCCAAGTTATTTAACCTTTTAAGACCGAGTAAAAACATATATGTTTTGATCTTCAATGGCCATCAATGGCATATCTAAAGTATTTTGGACACATTTTCAATATAAAATTTAAATTAATCTAGGATGATAGTATACAACCATTTATTCACATCACTTCCAGATGGCAGTTGTAATCCTTGAAGAGAGTACAAAGAGTTACCAAAAATAATTTGATTTTCAAGAGAAAATCTTTACTATATAAGCTAGTACTAATTAGCCATAGTTTCACATCCAAGCCATAATAGTAAAGACCATAATAATTTAATAGCATCATAGTCAATGTATGCAAAAATAATCGTCAAATATTTTAATCTTTAAATCTAATCAGTGAGAAAGCATTTAAATAAGTACAATGAAAACATATAGCTCACTAAATTTGCACATAGTCAGTTAGTCACCTTTAGAAGGTCTTGGCACAGTATTCATTTGCTTGCTTCCAAAAAAAATAATTTGAATGCAAATTCTGATTTCTTTTTCTTTCAGGTTTTGCCCTATTTTTTTTTTTGTTTGCATTCAACAAATAAAACCTGAAGCAAAATAAAATCAACTTAGTATGTTCTAGACAATGTGTATTTATTATCATCTACTTAGATACGTCCTCATGTTCTCATAGTTTGGGTACAGAGGCCTGTCTTGTGGCTCTCACTGTCCATTGCTTAGCCGTTCAACTAAAACGATTGAAATATACCTCATATTTGAAATATATATCAATTCTTTGCTAATTATTCTCCCCTTTAGTTAAACAACATCTCACAAGTAAAGACAACATTTCAACGCTAATATTGACATATTTATGTATTTTATGGATCATACAGACAAGCAGACAAGTTGAAAAAAGAAGAAATAAGCATAACTTCTTTATCTTCAAAAGGAAGAGTCTAGAAATTAGACTTCCTTCAGCATCCATCTTTGCCATTGGCTTATATGGACAAGAAGGTGGAACCCTCTCTAGTTTCCTGTATTCCCAACCAAAAAGCCAATAGATTTTTGCTTGCAAAAAATGAAAACATAGACTTCAGCAAAAAGAAGAAACATAAAGAAATTGAATCATGCTCATTGGGGAAAAAGGAGGAGGAGAAGTGGCACGAATAAAATAAGATGAGAAGATCAACACAAATAGAAAAAATAAGAGAAAAAACAGAGAAGTAAAAAAACATACATAAAGTACAGAAAGAATAGAAGGAAGAAAAACCTAGATGCAAAATGAGGACAAAACGAGTAAAAGACATCTCACCATGATAAAATCGAAGATCAGTGGAAAGACATTGAGAACTGGGACGAGGAAGAGCAACAACATACAGCCAAACAAACCTTTTTCTTTCACCAAATGTCTTTAAGGACATCCCAACAACTTAACTAATTTCAAGTATTTCTTAGAAATTAAATCCAAATTTTTTGTTCTTAAGCCACTTGTAATCAAAATAATCCCACTACAAAATTTAGCAAATCAGATTGGGGAGTTTTGGGCTTGTTAACATAAACTAAGAGCAACCAAAATTTCTATAACAAAACCACGACAAGTTAATCAAAATATCTACCCTACGAGAGATCCTAATTTTGAAAAAGTCTATACCATACTGAAAGGGTCTCCTAATCGGACAAGATGAATACTATGTCTTCGTCACTCTCTTCCTTGGTTCTTCCTTCTTTTTCTTGACAGAAGGAGTAGCAGCTGTGCCAGCACCTCATGATGAGATCTCCAATATTTATCCTCTGCAAACTTAGCAAATAAACTTGGCCGGTAAGATTTGACCGTCACGTTCACGGGATCTCGAATAGATTTAGCCGGTAATATTTCTCCTCTGCAAGCATGCTCTCCTAGACGTCATAGCAAAATCTCTAATAGATGCACCTGAAACGAGGTTGTGAATTTATCCTCGGCTACAAATATTGGGTTTTCAGGTTCGACAAAGCCAAGCAAACATGAAAAAAAGGCAGAAAACAAAGAAAGAACAAAATTAGTAAGCAGAAAAAATGCTTAAGCTATCATCGAAACGAGACTCAAGAGAAAGGAATTATAGAAAAACAAAATAAAAATACGCAGAACTCACCTTTGGGGCTCTCTTCCTAGTTCATTAATTCCTCCTCTCACTCTAGTTTTGGGGCTCTCTGTCAAAATCTTGTCGAGGGTGGGAAATAGCAAACAATGCAAGAGTTTGAAGAGTTTTTTTGGCTTGTGCAAGTGTATCTCTCGCAATCGATTGATTAATTAGATTTAAGAAAAATTCCCATCCTGTATTTTGGATTGAGTGGTAATTTGGTCTCCGAAGTTTAAAATGCGATAATCCAGTATTCAAATTTTTAAATTGGGACAATTCCGTTAAGTGGCATGTGAAAAGACATAAATAACGCTAATTATGCGGAAAATTCAAATCTCAGATGTTGGTCAATTTTTCTTTAACCAGTTTTCAATTTCCCCTAGTTGATGCTCCTTCAGCAGCTAAAACGAAACGAGAAGAGAATATCTCAGATATCTCGTCGCTTTAGTGTTAACTGAAAATCAAATGGAATAAAACATGATAAAACAGAGATGGATTGACATTTTGCATGTATCTTTTAAACTGTTAATGCTATACATCTCTCTTCCAGCCACCTAAATACTGATAATGTATATTGAATCTTCTACAAATACAGCAGAGAAAATTGGACCTGTCGGCTACACGCCAACACCAACACCCCTGGCCTCAATTTATTGCTCCGCCCTCTTTCATCTATTGGTCATCCACTTAAATTAATAGCATGCAATGAGATGGGCCCCATTAACTGTCCTCCCTACTCTTCCCCTCTCAATCGGATAGTCCAGCCTTGCTCTTTAGGTGCTGCTTGAAACCCAGTTGAGATGGTTGAATTCATAGTCAAGCTTTGCTCTGTCAGAGACACACAGATACAGAGGGAGATATGTTGCAGAGCAGAGCTTTGGGGTTGTGAAGAAATTAAGCATAGTTGCTTCTTGCATACTTGGGGCAGCAGGAAATGTTGCATAAAAATGGTTTTGTTATACAGTTGCTTCTTGCACACTCGCACGCATAGAGGTTGCCTTGAGGTAATAGTAATACAAGTGGAGAACCCAGAAAGGAGATTTTTTGGCTTGATTGACAATTTGGTCCAAGACTGTGCTTTTCAGGACTGATACCCCAAAGCTTTCTCTCAATTTAGTCTTTCGACCAGATTCTCTCTCTCTCTCTCGGTGACATAGAACTTGGACTCTGTTTCATTTCTTGAGGAAGAAGATGATGAACAATGTGTTTTATTTTTAAGAGTAATTTTGACATTTTTAAAACTCTTAAATTGCACATGAGATCACGTGATATAACATAACTGATAGTCCATTAACGACAGATATTAGATTGTCGCGTTTCGAAAGTTCGGGTATTGGATTGTCGCATTTTAAAGTTTAGGGACCAAATTGCCACTCGATCCAAAGTACAAGGCATTGATCGAAATTTTTTCCTTAGATTTAGACCGGTTAAAAGCTTAGAACCGTCGTGCCAATTCGCAAAGACCGCTGCTTTTAAAATATTTTATTTTATTTAGGTTTTTCAAGCGGCAGTCCTTTGAAGACCACCACTTCAACTCTTGCTATAGTGGCAGTCTTAAAGACCGCTGGCTTAAGACCATTTTTCTTGTAGTGATAAAAACCTCCCTTGTTGTTTTGAAAAAAAGGTGTAAATACCTTCCTTTTGTCATCATTCCAAATAAAAAATGTTGATGCAATGCATTAATTTCAAGGTTCAAAGTATCGAAAATGTTATGCGTATTAGAAAGGCAAATTTAAGAGACATATCGGGATACACCTTGGATACGCATGGATATGGACGAAAATTAAGATATGCAAGGAAGCACATGGAAATGCTATAAATACATTAATAGCTTATAAATAAACATCAATATCACTAAATATAAGACATAAATATGGGCTATTTATATATAAAAATAATATGTTTTAGTGGGTTTTATGAAAAAAAAAATATTATAATCAATATATGGGAACAAAAACATACTATTTAATAAAGTACTCAATTCAGTTCCAATGTGTTTGCTTGTTTTATTCTAAAAATTAAATTAAAATTAAGAAAAGTAAATATGTAACAGAAAATTTGAATGGATTTATGGACATAATAGATCAAGTAGTTATTTTGCATGTTTCATTCTAATTTTCTAAAAACTGAACAATTATTTATTTTTATTCAAATAATTATTTTTGATGTTTTATTCTAAAAATTAAATTAAAAATAAGAAGAGTAAATATATAATAGAAAAATTGAATGGATTTATGGACATAATAGATCAAGTAATTATTTTACATGTTTCATTCTAATTTTCTAAAAACTGAACAATTATTTATTTTTATTCAAATAATTATTTTGGATGTGTATTCTAAAAATTATATTAAAAATAAGAAAAGTAGATATATAATAAAAAAATTGAATAGATTTATGGACATAATAGATCAAGGAATTATTTTGCATGTTTCATTCTAATTTTCTAAAAACTGAATAATTATTTATTTTTATTCAAATAATTATTTTGGATGTTTTATTCTAAATATTAAATTAAAATTAAGAAAAGTAAATATATAACAGAAAAATTGAATGGATTTATGGACATAATAGATGAAGTAATTATTTTGCATGTTTTATTCTAATTTTCTAAAAACTGAATAATTATTTATTTTTATTAAAATAATTATTTTGGATGTTTTATTATAAATATTAAATTATAATTAAGAAAAGTAAATATGTAACAGAAAAATTGAATGGATTTATGGACATAATATATCTAGTAACTATCTTGCGTGTTTCACTCTAATTTTCTAAAAACTGAATAGTTATTTATTTTTATTCAAATAATTATTTTGCTTGTTTTATTTAAAATTTAAATTAAAATTAGGAAAAGTAAATATGTAACAGAAAAATTGAATGTATTTATGGACATAATAAATCAAGTAACTATTTTGCATGTTTCGTTCTAATTTTCTAAAAACTAAATAATTATTTATTTTTATTCAAATAATTATTTTTCATGTTTTATTCTAAAATTTAAATTAAAATTAAGAAAAGTAAATATGTAACAGAAAAATTGAATGAATTTGATCTATGGACATGGTAGATCATCCATAGATCTACAACATAATCAATTTCTAGAGGTAGATCAAAAGAAAAACCTAAGAAATTCATTTTTTCAGATTTTTTATTATTTTGGAATTTCTTCAAATATTCACAAAGATTTACATATACCAGCAAAATAAGTGAGATTTTTTTCACAAGAATAGCATATCAACATACATAATGATGCTTTCAAGCATCCAAACTAAAAAAACCTAAAAACATTTGGCTGAAAATGTAAAAAAATTTTGAAAAAACATCATATTTTCGCTACTTTTTAAACAACCTTGAAAAACTTATTGAATATTTCAATTTTGTAGGGGTTTTGATGGGTTTTTTCTAGATTTGAGTCTTTAGGAATGTAAAGAAAGTTTCTAGAGGGTTTAGGGAAGAAAGAGGGCTTCTGAAATGGGTTTAGAAGCCCTCTTTCGAAGGCTATTCTATTTGTAATAGTGAAGTCGTCGCGTATCGGCCGATACTCAACTAGAACAGAACATACCGAAATGGGCCGATACTAGCCTAATACGAAGTCGATACTGTTTCGGCATGGTGAAAAGAGACGGTACCTTCGATTTAGGACCGTCTCTCATGCTGGTAAGTCGAAAGACCGATACGTAGATACGTGATGAAATTTTAAACCTTGATTAATTTTACTTCACTTCAACCTTTTTGCCTTTGTCCAAGAAGAGTAAAGAGGATTATTCTTTGAAAGTTTTCAAGCAAAATAAATTAGTGAAGAGTAAAATTTAAACTTTTTAAATTATATATGATAATGCATTAACAATGATAAGGGTATTTTGGTAATTTTAATGTCTTTATTTGCTGAAAGCCAAGGGAAATAAGGTATTTGCACTGCTTTTTTCAAAACTATGGAGGGGGGGGCATTGTTAGGGTCAAAACACAAAGTGGTTTATAGAATTGTTATTTAGATGTTTTTTATAATTTTGATTAAAAAATGCAAAAATAATAGGGTTAAATACTTAAAGTACCCCTATAGTTTAGCAAATGGACAAAAGCTTACCCTATTGTTTGAAAAATGACTTGAAGACCTTTAAGTTTTTCGACAATGGACAAAATCCTCCCCTACCATTAGCATGCCGTTACAATCCGTTCGCATGTGATATCACATGACTTATATAATTTTTCTTAATTCCATAGCTACCCTTTTATGGTAGATTTTTCTCTTCATTGTTCTTTAAATTTTCAAAACAACGCCTACCTTACCGAAGAAAGAACACAAAAAAAAAGATTTTTTCTTCTCTTTTTACTGTTACCGGTTTATTTCAAGTGCAAAACACAAAAAAATTGTGTTTTAGGTGTGTAAGTACATGTAATTTACCATCACTAGGATTATGATGAGGATGCCAAAGGAAAGCCATGTGGAGAAATCCCGACCAGGGCATCCCTGCAATGGTACAGAAACATTTCATCGAAGCAACAAAAGGCTCACGCACTTACGATGAGCACAGAAAGCTATCCAGGGCATGCGATGGGCATAAAATGCCTTCTGGGACCTACGATGAACATAAAAAAAACTTTGGAGATTTGCGATGAGTAATGAATGCCATTGTAGATTAGTAATGGATGCAAGACGACATTGCATGCCCGCAATTAGCCCAACACGACGATGGGTATCCTGCGATGAGCATAAGAGTGGAAATTCATTCCATGACAAGCGGTAGAGGAAGTCCAAAACCACCAAGGCTCGTAATACTCGCTTGCGGGTAATCCATAGCACAGCAAACTGTGACAAGGCATCTTGAGGGTGACCGATGAGAGACTCAAACACATCATCCGAGCCAATATTTCATTCCGGACAGGTCGCCGTGAGGGAACCCCTAAGGGGATGTAGCCAACACGTACCATGTGAAAATCCTCATAAGAAAGGAAACTTTATTTCTAGAGGATCTTCCTGGATATGTGGTGAAACCACAATGGCAAAAACTCTTAGGAAAGGTCTTCTTTATAGATCCTTCTCTCAATAGCTTCGGGATCCTCCCTATAAAAAAGGAGACAGAGAACAACCACCGGAAACGACCGTCATCATTATTCAAGACCTCCCAAATCTCCTCAAAGACCTTGGCATACCCATAACTTTGACTCGCAACCTTGACCCAAACCCTACTCCATCTTCACCTTTCAAGGAGACCATCCGACACTGCCTTACCACTGTACTACAAGGTGAAAAAAGTCTTGAGAAACACAAAAATTTGTGGTAAGATATGCAGTGGAAGTAGAAGCCTTCTTTGAGAAACACAGAAAAGAGTCTTGAGAAACACAAAAGTAAAGTGACCTCCATTAACGAACTAACAAAGCCTTTTTTTTTAATGGTTTTGGAGAGGCTTCCAGATTCTCTTGTGGGGTTTATGGGACTAAGAGTGGCGATGAAACTTCCATTTACAGTTTTGTGAGAAACCAGATAGGAAATCTGTAGGAGTAAAAGTGCAGAAGAGCAATACTACAAGAAGACATTTACCTTTTGTCTCTCTTTTATTTCTCTATAGTTGAGAAGATCTAGTTTCGATTATTGGAGGTTTGAACTATAGAAGTTTCTTGGGGTGTAGTAAGAGGACAGGAAAAAACAGGGGTGGAAGAGTGGGAGTGGAGTGGAGGTGAGAAACCTTCAAAGATGGCATGCTTGCCGATATAGGTTGAGTGGTGGGGAGAAACCTTCAAAGATGGCGTGGGAGTGAACTGATCCAAAATAGGTTGGGTTAAGGCTACATAATCTGGAGAAGCCTTCATATACTCTTGCCAAAATTTGAAGAAAAATCAAGAGTAAAGTAGTCTTTTTAATCTTTCTGTTACCGGTTCCTAATGGTTGTCCATTGTTAGAAACTATAGGGGTACTTTAAGTGATTATGCAAACATTAGATTAAATGTTTAATACAAAATAATAATAAACCAATAAAAATTAATAAAAAGTTCTTTTTTAAAAAAATTAATAAAAATTAGCATTAAGATACAAAAAAATAATACAATTTTTTTATAGAGAATAGGAAATTGATCACTCTCACTAAAGTGGAATTTAAATTGTTATTGGATAAACTAGACATAACCCAAAAAATAATACTTGAGTTGAACTTAGATGAACACTTAATTGAAAATGTCATAAAACTCGATCTTCAATTTTGCTTATAAATAAAGCCCGTACAATGTATGGGTACTGACTAATAATATATAGATGGGCAAATTTCTTAAATTACTCTTATGGTTTAGTTAATTGATTAATTCTACCCTTATTGTTTACATATTGTCTTAGAGTACCCCTAAGTTTTTTGATAATTGACTAAATCCTCCTTACCATTAACGTCTATTAATGGAAAGATGAAAATACTATTTTACCCATTATTTTCGTTCAAATTTTCAAGCCTCATTTCTGTAGTTTGACAACATCAATTGATGGAATCATCGCTGTAGCTGTTGTCAGCTACATTCATCCAAACAGAAAATGGAATCGCATCCCTGAATTTAAATGGAATCGCTGCCATTGAACGGACTCTATTCCGGACTAGGGGGACAGCTCGTATTGTGGCAACTCAATATCCTTCTCTGAGAGAGTTAGTTCCCAAGGCCATATACCACCTCAAGGTTTATCAGGCAAGAAGTCATCTTCATAGGCAAATCTCATACCCCATAAATAAAACTGTAGTGAGATGAGATACAAAATTATAGATATTCATAGAAAAAGGAAATGGGTGGCCATTGTTACCCTCCGTCAGCTCTGTTTTTCTTCTTATTTACAGTTACCCAGGATGTATTGGAGAGATGCAGAGAGTTTGAAGGAGCTAAAGAGGGCTATTGATTTTGGGTCAGTGATGCTGGAATCTTTGCCTCAAGGAGCTAGGAACAAGTTTCCTCAACCAAGATCGCTGTCGGAAATCCCTCGTTGCCTCCTCGTCCTCTTCCTCCTTTGCTGCTCTGTCAACCGATCTTGTTTCTAATCTGTTTATAAAACTTTTGAATCATCAGCTGCAATGCTGATTAAAAGGTATACAGAATCATCAGCTGCAACTGCAGATCACACAGTTTGATTCTGATCATTGGACGAGGTTGAAAAGGTGGTGTCGTAGTTGATGTATGGAGCTATTGTGATTGTAAGTTCTGAGCCCGTGTACAAAGGATGGTTGGCGTGTTTATTAGGGATTTGTGGATGTGAGGAATCACACCTCCACCAGCTATAGTTCCTTTGATCAATATATCAAGTTCTTCACCCCCTCAACTTGCAATCTGCAGATGCCTTGGTGTAATATGTTTAACCTTCAGATCCTTGCTGGCATTGCCTGACAGTTCCAGTTCCAAGACTTCTGCAATAAGATACTCTAATTGTTGCCCCTACTCTTCCATTAGCTGCAATCCTGGACTTCAGGAGACGATGGATACACTATAATCCTGCTCTAGAAGAGCGAAAGCCATGTTTCTTCTGGCGCTCAGAGCTGAGGACGTAATCGGACCTTTCGCCTTTTTCCGACATCTTTCCCACCAAAAAGATTATAGTTTTCAATGATTTGGAAACGGAAAACAAACCCAGAAGCAATAGAAGCAATTGTAGAGAGGGATAGAAATAGAGAGATGAAGAGCGTCATTAACTCCGAATAGGGAGACTTTCTCCCAAAAATCACTACGAAAACAATTAAAAAGCCGAAAGGGTATTATTGGAAATTTTGAAAAGAAAATATCAATTACATGACGGAATATGCAGAAAGTTAACTCACGATGGGAGAGGTTTTAGACAATTGTCAGAAAATTAATTTGCCCTATATAGATCCCTCTAACAAGTTCCCTCCATTAAATCATCTCAGCGTAATATTCGAATTTCTTCGACCACGAGATGCTCTGTTTATCTGCAGTATGAAGGATAAATATCTATTTTCAATATATAAATGTCTGCCGTGCATCGCTGCATTTGGGTTAAGATCAATGCATGTTAGTTGCCAAAACGTGGTAAAATCAGCCCATAATTTGATAGATTTTGATGGGATTTTGGCCGACAGGTTTGCATCACTCGCGCAGTCGTGTTCCCATCCTTCTACTCTCCGACAAGGGCGCCAGGTTCATGCTCAGGTCGTTGTAAATGGATTGAGTGAAAGTGATTTTTTGGAAACAAAGATTTTAGCTATGTATGTTCTTTGTAAAAGTTTGATAGATGCACAAAATATGTTTTTCCGGTTAGATTGGCGGTACCCATTGCCATGGAATTGGATGATAAGAGGATTTACCATGATGGGTTCGTTGGAGTTTGCGTTGTTATATTACTTCAAGTTGTTGGCGTATGGAGTTTGCCCTGATAAATATACGTTTCTATATGTAATTAAGGCTTGTTGTGGTTTATCAGCTATTAATTTGGGTAAATGGATCCACAAGACCATTCATTTGATGGGTTTTGAGATGGATATCTTTATAAGTAGTTCGTTGATTAAGATGTATACTGAGAACGATTCAATAGACGATGCGAAGCGTTTGTTTGATATAATGCCTCAGAAAGATAGTGTTTTATGGAATGTGATGCTTAATGGGTATGTGAGAAATGGGGATGCTGACAAAGCTATTGAAGTATTTCGGACAATGAGAACTGAGATGACACCCAATTCAGTGACATTAGCTTGTATTCTATCCATCTATGCCTCAAAAGCAATTGCTAAATGTGGTACTCAGCTACATGGACTTGCCATCAGATGTGGTTTGGAATTAGATCCTCCAGTTGCTAACACTTTGTTGGCGTTGTATTCAAAATGCCGGCATTTATCAGATGCATACAAGTTGCTTGATTTGATGCCGCAGATTGATTTGGTGGCTTGGAATGGGATGATTGCTGGGTATGTCCAAAATGGATTTATGGATGAGGCTAGGGGCTTATTAAATAAGATGCTATCTTCTGGTTTTAAACCGGATTCTATCACTTTGGCAAGTTTTCTTCCTTCAGTTTCTGACTTAGCCAATCTGAAGCAGTGTAAGGAGATCCATGGTTATATCATTAGACACGGTGTGCATCTAGATGTTTTTCTAAACAATTCACTTATCGATGTATACTTTAAATGTAGGGATGTAGATTTGGCAGAAAAGGTTTTTAACCAGGCAAATAGTTTAGATGTTGTTATTTGCACAACAATGATTTCAGGCTATGTGCTTAATGGGATGAACAGTGATGCTCTGGGGATCTTCCGGTGTTTGCTTAAAATGAAAATGAAACCAAATTCAGTGACACTGGCAAGTGTTTTACCATCTTGTGCTGGTTTAGTGGCTCTGAAGTTGGGGAAGGAGCTACATGGTAACATTCTTAGGAATGGCCATGAGGGAAGATGTTATGTAGCTAGTGCATTGACTGATATGTATGCAAAATCTGGGAGATTGGATATCGGTCATAGGATTTTTTGGAGAATGGTAGAAAGAGACACTGTTTGTTGGAACTCAATGATAGCAAACTGTTCGCAAAATGGCAAACCAGAAGAGGCCATTGACCTTTTCCGCCAAATGGGATTTGAAGGAGTACAGTATGATTGTGTCTCCATATCAGCTGCTCTTTCAGCATGCGCAAATTTACCAGCACTTAATTGTGGGAAACAAATCCATGGATTCATGATGAAAGGTACCTTCAGTTCTGATCTCTTTGCTGAGAGTGCTCTCATAGATATGTATGCTAAATGTGGGAATTTGGTGCTTGCACGTCGTGTATTTGACTTGATGCAAGTGAAGAATGAAGTTTCATGGAATAGCATTATTGCTGCATATGGGACCCATGGTCATATTAAGGACTCTCTTGATTTGTTTCATAAAATGTTGGAGGAAGGGATTCAGCCAGATCATGTCACTTTTCTCGCCATAATATCCGCTTGTGACCATGTAGGTAATGTTGATGAAGGTTTCCATTATTTCCGTGTCATGACTGAGAGGTATGGAATTATGGCACGGATGGAGCACTATGCTTGCATGGTTGATTTGTTTGGACGTGCCGGTCGTTTGCTTGAAGCATTGGACATCATAAGAAGAATGCCATTCAATGCAGATGCAGGTATCTGGGGAGCGTTGCTTGGAGCTTGTCGTGTCCATGGCAATGTTGAACTTGCTGAGCTGGCCTCAAAACATCTCTTTGAGTTGGATCCACAAAACTCTGGGTATTATGTATTGTTGTCAAATGTTCATGCTGATGCTGGTCAATGGGAGTGTGTTCTTAAAGTAAGAAGCTTGATGAAGGAACGGGGTGTGCAAAAGTTACCAGGTTATAGCTGGATTGAGATCAAAGGCATTACACATGTGTTTATGGCTGCGGATAGAAGCCATCCACAATCTGTTCAGATTTATTTATTGTTAAAGATCCTGCTTCTAGAGCTGAGAAAAGAGGGCTATGTTCCCCAACCTTACCTTCCAATGCACCCACAGACAATACACTTAGATGATCAAGTTAGATTCTCATCTATTTTAGGGGGAATGTTGTAAGACTGTTTTGTATTGTTTATGTACCTAAGGGTATATTTGTCATGTTATATCATTTTATTTGATCCTAATGTAAATACCCAAGTGGGTACTGCGAGACCCACCTGGGAGCTTTCAAACATTTGTCTTCTTTTCTTCTTTCTTCTTCCTCCTCTTAATTACACTAGCAATGAGATTTTTCTTTTTTTCTTTTAGGAAAAAGTGTAGTAAGGGGCTTTATGGCCCTAAAACTTGACATGTCTAAGGTTTATAGGTTGTAATTGGATTATCTTATGACCATTTTGAGACTTCTGGGGTTTGATAATCACTAGTGTCATCATAAAATGCAGTTCTTATGTTAGCTTTTCTATTGTGTTGAATGGTTCTATTGGGGGTTATTTTAAAACATAATTGTGGTCTGGAGGATGTATATTCTTGACAGAAGAAAGAAAAGTTGAGTGGTTGGAAGGCCTTATGTTCAAGCAGGGAGAGTGATTCCTATTAAACCAGTTTCGAACTCTGTCCCCATTCATTGTTATCACTATAGCTAAATTTCCATGTAAAGAACTTTTTTAGATGTTGATAAAGTATCAAAACTGGTTTTTTGGTGGAGACAGGATGCTTCCAGAGGTGGCTTTGAATGGGTTTCTTGGGATGCTCTTTGCTTACATTTGGAGGTCTTGGTTTCAGAATGCTTCAGGGAGGAATTATGCTTTGCTGTCCTAATTGTCTTGGTACTTTCTTTCTTCTCCTAATCATCTATGGTGTAGAGTGCTTAGAAGCAATACTTGAAGAACATACCCTTTTCCTAGCAAGGTGAGATGTAGTGAATCCTTTATGTGAAAATTTTTAGTTAAGGCAATTGAGAAGATGATAAATTCTGTTGGTTGGAAAGTAAAGGTAGGATTCTAATCTAAATATCTAGAAATTTCCTTGGACATTCAATTGGAAGGGTTTCCATGCTCCTATGGATCCTCATTTGTCTTCTCTTATAATACACTTACACTGTGTTTGGTTTGAAAGAGAAGTTCGGGAAACCAGTTCAAGGTCTTGGAAATTGGATTAGAGGTTTGTTACTGATCAAGTTGTTTAATTTTAAAATCTCACATTTTTCAGAACATTGAAGCAGATCAATTGATTTGAACCAAACAAAGTAATGGGTTACTGATAGTTAAACACTTCTATCACTTAATGTTCTTGTGGATATAATTATCTGCATGGACCTGTTTCTAATCTTATTAGGAAAACTTAGTGCTAGAAAATTCTCCCATTATTTAAATCGTTTTGATGTATGATAATAAGGGGTTTTGTTGGCACTACTGTAGTCTTTACTAGTAAAGGGATATCTTCTAAGTCTTCTTGTGTTCTATGCCTTAATTCAATGGTGTCTATGATCACTTGTTCTTGATAAGAGCTTGTTTTTTTTGGCTCTCAATGGAGTTTAAGGGTTTCTGATGGTGTAAATAGATCATGGGTGGAGGATTTTAGTGAATGTTTAAATAGTTGAGTCCTCATGAGATCTGATGAAAGTTCCGACCTGATTTGCATTTTATTTTAATTTCATATGGCAGGATATGCATTTTTTTTTAGAATAATACTGTTGACCCAGCCTTATCTTGGGAAAACAGATTGGTATTTTAATGCTACTGTGCCTAATGATTCCAATGACTAATTTTACTTTTGTTGGTGGAAGAAGGCATGCAGATTTCAGATCTTCATTCCTGGGTTTTCCCACCAAATGGATAGTGGGGGGTGGGGGGAGGGAGAGTTAATGGATGATCAATGAGTTTTATGGTCATACTCTAAGAACTCACTCTGGTTGTTTTCATTCAGCTGCATGTGGTCCTCTTTTGCTGAAGCAGAGTATATTCGACGAGTTGTTTGTGGGTTGTTTAAGAGCTTTTTGGTGGGCTATAGTATGGCAGTTTCAGCTTATCATTTTGGTATCTGATTTGTGGTTGGTGATCAATGCTGTTACAAGGGACAAATAAATCATATAGTGGTCTCTTAGAGACAAAGCTTTCAGGTTGAAAATCATTCAGATTTTCCGTTTGTCACTTTTAGACATAACAAGAGACAGAGTAATGAGGCAGCTCATGTTACTGCACAACATTCTAAGACTTTTGTTGGTGAAGAGGTTTGGTACGACTGTCCTCATTTTGGTATCTTTGGATAAGTCTTTTATAAGCTAATATAAGCTTATTTTTAATTACAGAGAAGAAAAAAGAAGAGGGAAATGATTATTTCACGGGCTAGTTTGGCCTACCTTGTTTTTTATATTTCACTTCTTTATTTATAATTAGAGGAAGACCATTGTAGTGATTGGTAGAGTCAAGTATAGGCCTGAGAAATCCCCATAACACACAAGTAACTAGTTTGACCAATTTTATTTTTCGCTTCATTTTGTTAACATAACCAAATAAATTATAAAAGATTAAACAAAGGAGATTCAATAACTAGTGTTGTTATTAGATCTACTACTAATCAAATAGGTTAATTTCCCACTAAATGTTGTTGTGTGTGCAGCTTAATACATTATACATAGGTGTGCTTTTTTAGTTCGTTCGGAGACCATATACCCAATTTTCTCTTTTCTCTTCTTTACATTTTATGGAGTTGGTTGACATGGCTTGAATGTGATCAAATAACTATATGAACCTTGTAAAGTTTAACATAAATATACACAAAGTATGGTCAAGTGTAAGGTTCTAAAGTTCTAGTGTACATAAGCCAAGCCTATGTTTCTTATGGATTTCGTGTTGATATATCCACTTATATTTCATGACAATTGAATGGACAAAATATGTTCCAGTTTTGAATTTGGGGCCCCTAATCTATATTTATATACTAAAGTAGAACATGCCGCGTTAGATGGTCTCTCCTTGCTCCATTAACCCAATGGAGCAATTCTAGAGGGGGTTCAAAATTGCTTTTAGAAGCCCATGGAGTTGCCACCTTAACATGGCTTATCTCCCTTTTTTTTCTCCTTTTTATTAGGAAACTAATTATCCCCCACTTTCTCCTATATTGTCTCTAACTGTCTCTGATTTCAATTTATCCTCTCCCCCATTTTTCATCTATGGGATTATATGACAATTGTTTTCTCCTATTATACCACAACTAAATGGTGTGTTCGAGAGAAGAAATTGGACTTTATTAGATATGGTCCAATCACTCTTTGTTAACTTAGATTTATCCATATTCTTTTGGGGACATGCATTAGATGTTGTGATCTACATAATAAAGTGGGTTTCAACCAAGCCAGTTCCTAAGATTCTATATGAGCTTTGGGCTAACAAGAAACTAAGTGTTAGAAACTTTAAGGGATGGGGTTATCTAATACATGTCAAAAAGATAAGTGTAGACAAATTGGAATAAAACCAGTTGTTACATATTTATAGATTACCTTAAGGATTCTATTGGGTACTTCTTCTATAACGCAAATGAACAAAAGGTATTTGTTAATTGCATGCCCACTTCTTAGAGGAGGAATACATCCTAAGCAATCATCACAAAAAAAAAAACATGTTTTTTTACGAAGAGGGCTTAGGAATAGTGGGAGACATCATTCCACAAGTTCTAAATGCCAATACCCAACTTAGAAAATCTATTTGGGTTTCTAGATCCTCTGTTCACTTTAGTTTGGATTAAAAAAGTTACTTGATGGAAATCATGGACAATGAGGAAGAACCCTTGATTTGTATGAAAGCTATGTTAGATATACACACCTTGAAGTGGATAGATGCTATGAAAGCCAAGATGGACTCAATGAACACCAATATATTCTAGGTTCTTGTAGACTCTCCATTAGGATAAAAGCAATTGCTTGAAAATAGATCTACAATAGCAACAAGGCCTTGATGGAAAGGTTAAGACCTACAAAACTTAGCTTACGATGAAATGTTATACTTAGAAATGAAGGGATGGGAGATCCATCATATGGATGACCGAACCATGCAGGGTGGCTGGGCGAAATTTCAAATTTTTTTTTCTCCCATCTGGGAATTGTATTCCCTAATTTAGAAAAAACAGCATTTTTCAAGGTTCGCTCTTGAAACAAGGATGACCGAACCCTGTAGGGTGGCTGAGAAAAATTTCAAAATTTTTTTTTCTCCCATCTGGGAATCGTATTCCCTAATTTAGAAAAACTGCATTTTTCAAGGTTCGCTCTTGAAACAAATCAGACTAGATCTGAAACCAAAAGAGGGAGAGGGATATACCTGATACGGAATTAATGTAAATAACTCCCAACGTAGGTGTTCACTCCCAAAGAGGTCACCAAAACCCACCTCCACTGAAGATGACACAACTTATGTTGAGACAGGATAAGCAAGAACCATAATTCTTCAGCAAGAATCACGTAGGGTGTGTGTGAGCATGACTTCAGATTGTTTCTTCTAGCAAGAGACAATAAGAATTATTCTTGATCATATCCAAGAGTGGAGATTGAACTGGGTAGGGGTGGCAAGAGCTGAGGGAGAAAACTGCAGAATGTTGAATGTGTAAACTGAGGAATTCGCCCCCTTATTTATAACCTTCTTTGGATCAGCTTCCTAATCCAATTAGGAGTGAGTTTCTTGATCCAAATATGATATTTGGATCTGGACTCTTAGTTGGGTAAGACATATCTTATCCTAATCAGATTACAAACCTAATTCGCCCCATTTAATTAAAACACTTAAGCCTAGTTCAAAATGGGCTTTAGGCCCATTAAGTCATATGTCTCACTTTCCCTTTTAAATGCTGGCTAGTTTGGCTTTCTTTGTATGGCGTGGGACCCTAGCATTGGTCTCCACAAAAGCCATATGGGTTCAGCCCAACCTCTGTTACAAGGCCTGGCCGAATTCACTATTGAAGACAGTGAACCCCTGAGCCCATTAGTATGGGCTCTTAGCAGGCCCAATATTTACAGTAAATGGTCCTTGGGTCCAACTACCTTATGAAGGCCCAAGGACTATGGACTTATGTGAGATTAGCCCATCAGGTATAACCCTAAATGATCTCACACTTAACCTCTCAGTCCATAATGATCAAACACTGCCCGACAAGAGAGGATATCTCCCTCAGCTGCAAGGTACAGTGTTGCACTTTCTGCTCACATGGATCATGGGAACTAAAACATTTTTGCAAACATTTTGTGAAATCAAAATATATATGTATATATC